GCGCAGAGCATATTTCAGAATAAAATATCAGATTTCATCCAAAAAAAAAAAAAAAAAAAAAAAAAAAAAAAGCACTTAGGGGAAAAACTACCACCTTCAATTTCTCCGTTACAAGGAAGTTCACAAACAGGTGTAGAAAATCATCACTGTGAGATTCCTGGAAAAGGGTCAGCCCCCCCACCTCCACCCTACCCCACCCCCTGAATGTCACCTGAACACCTGAGCTCGCATTCAGGGGCCAATTTCCATTCAAATGCAGTGCACAAACAAAAGCCATTCACCTTGACACTATACTATCAAGTCAATGAGCGTCAGCTGAATGGCTCTGACACTTCACAGTCCAGCCGGTCATGTCTCTCCTACGCTGTTTAGACGAGACAGAAAGCGATGCGAGCGACGCCGTCTGCATTTCAAAAAATAAATGACGCTTTTTCCCTTTAATGAAGACGGCGAATCTGTCAGAAAGCTTCCTTCCTTCGCCGCTCTCTCCAGTCGCAGAAGGAAAATTACCAAACTGTTGATAGATGGCTAACAGGTGCAGGCTAATTATGCTAATCATGGCAACAGCCAAATAAACTGATTGCCATGTTCATTTAAATGACAGCAATGTTCCTTTGGTGGCTAATTAAAATAGGTTTGGAGAAGAAGGAAACGAGGCGGTTGGGTTCGGATGGAGGGAGGTGTTTAAATAAAAGCGTTCTCCGGGGTCTACTGTAATAAGCTGTATTTCATTGGTTTAATGATGTCATAATGAATTTCTAATGATGGGGGATGGGTTCGGGTGCAAAGAAGTGTGTTGATATGTGCATGAGACCAAACAGTACAGCGAGCCCCCCCCCCCCTCCCTCTGCGAAAGGAAAACACAACAGGGGAGCACTGGCTCACGCTGTTTTGATGCAAAAGGGTATTCCTGTTTGAAACGAGTTAAGTAATGAAAATAAAAATCAGTAGAGGACATCTAGTAGGGTATGCGCTCCATTTGTTTCAATACCTTCCCCACTGGAAACGGTAGGGGGAGGTTTTGAAGGGGCAATTACTTTTTTTTTTTTCTTTTCTATTCAGCACCGGGCCCCGTTGGCCCCCCAGTCTCCATATGCCTGTGACCCAGGAAAAGGCATCATTAGAGGTAGAGATGGCGATCAGAGGCCAGGGGAGATGAACTCTGGGGCCCCTGGCAACCAATGTAGAGGTATGAATGGTGGATAGGGGCTGATTAATGTTTATAGGGGAAGCTCACTATTCCCTCCTTTCCCCACAGCCCTCATTTTTAATGCCACTCTTCAGAGGAGATTAAAAATCTACGGTTTTCGGCTCTATCCTTCAAAAAGCAGTATCACCAGGTACGTAATGAGAGTTCAATCTTTTCATACACTAAAAACTATCTCCTCTGCTTCTTCTTTTGCTTCTCCTGTTCTTCTTCTTTACAAGATGTAAAACCATCTGAAGAAAAACAAAACTGTTAACACCAAGGATTGCCACTAGGAAAAGCTGGGCCATAAGCGATCTTTCAAAACGATTCCCATGATAATGAAAACAAACTGTTGGGTGAATTTCTATAAATGTATCTCGCACTTAGGTTAACCATCTGCACAATCGCCCTGTTAGGCTATAGTGAGAAAACAAAGCAAAAAGACACACATGTTTTTGGAACCGTCGTGAAGAGAGACAGACGGCCGCACAGGACGACGACATCGTAGCAAAGAGAGGTCGCACAACACTGGTGACTCGGGAACGGTTCAGATTTCTAAAGCTGGGTAAACAGCACAGCCATATCCGTTGCAAGATAAGCAGGCGACAAAGACGGGAAACACAGCAAACATCCACTTTAAAAGGAAACATTCGTCTAATCCCACCCGAGTATACAGAAAGCCAAAGTGTGTCAGACATTACCTGATATGATGGGGGGAGCTCAAAAAAGCAGCAGGGACACAGCGAGGGCAACTTAATGTTTAATAGTGAAAGACATGATGCCTGTTACAACAGTGGAGAGAAAACGAGTTTCAGAAGCTAAAGAAAGTAGTTCCTTCCTCATTAATGGTATCAAATATATACTTGGATATATTTTGCAGTCCTACCACCACGGATTATTCATTCATTCATTCCCTATCCTTACTGCTCGTGCTTACAGGGTCGGAGGGGGGCTGGAGCCAGTCTCAGATGACACTGAGTGAGGGCGGGGTACACCCTGGACAGGTCGCCAGTCTCACTACGGATTACTTAGTTTTTAAAGTACCAGAAAAATTCCCATTAGATTTGAACATGTCCAACATGACGTCTAAATTGTTCAGTGTCTAAAACCCAAAGACATTCACTTTCCAATGATATGAAGAAGAAGCTTGTAGCACCAATGTTTGGCATTGGTGGCATTTTAAAGATAATGGTGACAAATTGGATATAGCATGTGAAAATTATGTATAACTGCTTTATTTTTACTTCATTTTTAAATTGTCTTAAGCACCGGTGTGATAAAATATGTCTCTCCAGACAATGTGGTATTCCATTCACATTGTAAGAGTGAGCACTTTGGGATGAGCTCAAGCAGAAAACTGTCAGCTGATGCATCTTGGGAAGGATGGACTGCACAGTCTATGACCACGCACCACTTTCCAAACTCTTTACACAATCAATAGTAAAGCCGACGTCTCGGGACTTAAAATGTTCGACAGAATATGCAACCAGAAGTGACAGAAAATTGACATGTAGATATTACTGAAAGTAAAAGTTGCATCTCTGAACAATATTTTGATCTGTATATACTGAAATGTACAAGATACAAGGGTTTTTAAATAGCTCAGAAACAAACTCCAAAGCTGCTTCACTTTGCTTTGAATTTTTACATATTTCTTTGTATGATGAGAAAGAAGAAGAGATGAATGATTCCAAACTAAGATAAATATGACAGAAGTAAGAATTCCCATTGTTGGATATCAGATGTGCGCACAAAGAAACTTTTGTGTCAAAGTAACAAAAGAGGAGAGAGCGCAGGAATAGAACAGCCGGCCCCTTTTTATCTTAAGTTTATGAGGCATTCTCACTATTTAAATGTATGTCACATTAGTAGGGATCTACTCAGTTCAATATATTATAATGTGATGTTTGGCCTTAATGGAAAATCAATGGTGAGACAAGCCCGCCACCGGTGAGACCATACAAAAGCAATTTCCAAATTGACATATGGAGGGCCTATGTGATTGATTCTGACTGCTGCTGGATTTTAATACCGTTCACTGTGAGCTCATTGACTCTCAGACATCGTCTTGTGGTTTATCTACAAACTGCCAAATGAGCCCTTGTCTCTTTTTTTTTCTCCTCTCTCTCCGTCTCTCTCTCTCTCTGTCTGTCGCTCATCTTTTCTTTCTCTGTCCTTCCCTTCTTCTCAGTGCGACTCAGGCAAGAGTGGATACGTTGAATTAGATTGGATACATTAGATAAATGAACAGATGACTTTCCGCAAACACATCCTCTTTGTAATCGATCACAGTGAGATGTAATGTAGTTTCATTCATATCTCACCTCTACATTGTGACCCCCCACCCTCCACCTCCCCACCCCCCACCCTCCCCACTGCTGGAGTACAAATAATACTGAAGATACAATGTTAACATTCAGCACCAATACCAATCCTGACACGACAGCATCAGCTGTCATCATCAATTTAATGAGTCATACTGTCCCTCTGCTGCTTGTTTTTAACAGCCCACGAGCTCAGAAAGAAGCTAACTGTCCTGTCCCGCCTCCCCACCCCCCACCCGTCTGTCTGTAGCTGCGGCACAAACACACATCACACAGCAGTCATAGGGATTAGGAAGTGGAGGGAAACAATTCACTTTCGGAAGCTGAGGCCAACAGGGTCTGCCGATTGTGGATTACCAGCCAATCCCCCCCCCCCCCCCCCCCCCCCCCCCATCAAATGACTTTGTTTCCAGGAGCTTTAAATCTCCTGAAAAGAAAAGACGCCACAACCCTGTCGCCTCTTTAACTGTGTTTGGCAGCAATTTCGTATTGATGCTGAAACGCCAGTAAATTCATATGTTGCACACTATTTACTTTAATTATACAGTATATCTGACATGTACAACCATAAACCTTGAGGAAAACCAAAGACCTGCAATTCCATTCATCCATCCATCTTCCACCCGTTAGGTCTGGGCCACAGAGGCAGCCGGCCGAGCAAACTACCCCAGGTGTGCCAACCTCCCTCTGGACAAAGATTTAAAAAGTCCCCGGAGGCCGTGGCCTCATGATCTAATAAATACAAAAAATTCACTTGAATATCCAATAAAAACACCTCCCCGTATAGCTCCAACGACGTGCGAGTGAGTCAGCCACCTTCACCGCCGAGCCAACACACACATTCACACTGTATCTTCGCAGCAGACTGTTAGAAAGCAGCTGAGTTGAGTTTAACTCCGCTCACTCGCTGACATGAGACCGCTGACCCTGAAGCGTTACACCGAATGCTCATCTGAGCGTACTGCAGTTAATGTAACTGACAGATTTGACTTTGAAGCACCTTTAAACCCAAGCACATGCACAAAGATGCAAAAACAACTTCACACACCCACACACACACACACACACACACGCTCCTTACATTACAATGAGGACAACATGGGTAAGCATCCATCCCCAACAAGCAGTGCAACTGAAAAAACTATGATGAGTATCTTTCATCTGGTGACCAAGTATTTCAATGTCAAACAAAAACCCTACAACTACATCAAGGCAAACTGTATAAATACCACACAACCACATCTCAGCTTTTCATCCGACAGAGAGAAAGGACACAAGCTCCGAAACGATATTATCAGCCACACCAGCAGCATCATGTCTCCGAGCTCCCACTGTATTTAGAATGTAGCCAACGGTTAGCACCGTTTTTTGGGTTTTTTTTTTTTTTTTTTAGAGCCGATCACAGTGTCAGCTCAAGTGTAGAGTTTTTTTTTGTAGCCTGAAAAGTGGAGCAGCCGTCCCCCACACGTCTGACGTTTCACACTCACCTTGCCGAAGTCCCTGACGTCGAAGAGGTCAAAAGGGTCGAACAGCTCGCTGTTGCGCAGGCCGAACTTGTCGTGGCAAACCTTGAGAAACGTCCGGATGTTCTTCAGACACAGGAACTACAAAAGAGAGAGAGAGAAAAAAAACCAAAACAAACATAAATGCATGTTCAAACTGAATCTTGCGCACACATTTCCAGTGATAGTGAAGAGCTAACAGAGGATTTACCCTGCTCCACCAGGTTCTCACCTTATTTTAATATTCCCTATCAATGCAACTGAGTTTTTTTTTTTGGCAAATATTTAATTTCCTGCTTCATGATTGGCAGGCTCCCCGTATCATCCCTTCCTGCTATATATGAGTGATTATTCAGCACCAGAAGGTAAGCAGGCTGATTGCTGCTCCTGAGGCCGATGGGCTGTCTCTCTCTTTCAGATAAGGAGATGCCACAGAGAAGCCCCTGTCTCCTGACATCAGAGCGCACCAGGGAAGTGTCCTCAGACAAGCCCACAGGCAAAGACCTGCCCCCGGGTTAAAGTCGGCCTTGCTGGATTGAGACACCGACCTCACACTGAAAAGGTCAAGGGTCACAAGTCCGACAAAAAAAAAAAACAACCATGGAAAGGTCTTTAAGAAAACCAGTGATGCTCTGGCATTCAATAAAGGCTTTGAAAAAGGTTTTTATCTGAAATCAGTTACTCAGGAAATGGAACAAGAGGAGATACAGATAAGGTGAAGTAAGAGGCTGTCAATAAAATAGATTTGAACTTGAGAATGGTGGCCTATATTGTGTGTGTGTGTGTGTGTGGGGGGGGGGGTTCATATAATAGGAACCCTGCAGCAGCCAAAAATACTCATAATAAACCGCATATTGAAAATACCCTGGTCACGAATATTGATAGTCCCAGTCCCTAAAATATGCCATCATGCAGAAAAACCTTCAGGGATGGGGGGTGGGGTGGGCAGACCAATAACTGCAAAAGGGGTATTGAAATATTAATGATAAGCATAATAGCCTCCCATCTCCCCATCTTTCTGTGTGTGAAGAACACATTACCTGGCATGCAAATCCAGATGCCGCTCAGATATGCCCTTTCATTTCTCGGAGCGTGAGCGATACGAACTGATGGCCGCGGAAGCAGAGTGTACACACAAAAGAGACTCTAGTGAGAGAGCCGGCGTGGAACAAAATGCTTGATTGCCTATTCTGCTGAAAGCTTTGACAACACACTTCCACCCTTGTAATGGGCTGTTGCATCAAACTGGTAAAACAACCGGCAGCCTGCGCAAGTCGCACTTGACGTCGGGTGCACGTGAGTGTTAGCAAATGACAGCTTCAGGTAGACTAACACGCCGCAGAGCATCCCCTCTCCCTCTGCTATTTATTTTAATCTCAGGGAAGTTTGAGCCGCAGTGTTTCCATCCACATCCGCCCTCCGCACTCATTAGCTTTCAGGCGTTGGATAAGGAATCCACTCTCTGTCACCGCCACCTTAAAAAAAAAAAAAAAAAAAAAAAAGGCACAAGTTTCATCTGATATGCTTTCCTGGTATTTTGTGGTATTTTATTTGGCCCCTCCTGGCCACACCTGAGAGCCCCTGCTTACTCATTCTCATTCATGCGTGCGCATCTGCTCGGTTCCCGGTGTCACGGGTGTGAGCCCCATAAGAGAGAAGCACTGGCCAGCGAAAAGAAATGCGATTGGTTAGCTCGCTGAAGTGACATTTGCAGTTCAGCTGCGAAGGTTATCCTGTCTGCAGATCCTCACGTGCAACGGGGAAAAAAAGAAGAAGAAAAAAAAAAAAAAAGCTTATTTTCCAAGCCCAGATATGAAAAGGTAACATTTGCTGGAGTGGTTTGGAGACGAGAGGAAAAGAGAGAGAGAGAGAGAGAGAGAGAGAGAGAGAGAGAGAGAGAGAGAGAGAGAGAGCTCTGCAGATATAAATCAGGAGGGGGAAGATGTGTCTGACATTCTAATGTATGTTTGGAGATAAGAGAGCCGGGGTATGGGTAGGGGGAGAACTGCTATGATCTTGATGGGAAAAAAAAAATACACCATTTCTCGTGGAGTGGGGAGTGTGAGTGCATCTGGGAATAAACAGACTGTGGTCATCTCCTTAGGCTGAGGCTGCCCTCAGCACCATACATCTGAAATTACCTCACTTGTGGCCTGCAACACACTCGAGGCTGGGCACATTTACTCCTCCATTTTTCACAGTGCTGTGGGTTCAATCTCGCACACATAAACTGCGCTAAATTGACTTCAATGCTGATAGAATTTAAAAGGTTAAAAGAATCCTCGTATATGCGTTTATATACAGAAAATAAACCCTAAAATGAAGTTCTAACTTTTTTATTTTTCAAGTGGAAATGTCAAACGGTTACCGGTGAATTTCCATTTCTTTGTAATTTTAATCTTTCATAACTGATTATAACAATAATCATTAGTTGCAGTCTGACTTCAAAAAGCTCATTTCAACCCGTTTTTTTTTTTTTTTTGCCGTAGATGAAACTTTTTGTTTTCACAACAGCAGATTGGATCATTACAGTTTTAATCAGTTTCATTACTCCAGATCCCTGCGATTGCTGTTTCAAGCAACAAAAGAGATATACCTACTAGCTCCCACATATGGTTTTACAGCTAAAACACTGCAATAAATGTTGATTGCAAGTGAAGACAGCGTGCAGGTGTTTGTTCGCTTTTAGCAGTTACATTATTAGTTCTGTTTTTTTTTTTCTTGGTTTTTTTGTGCACCTGTTGCCTAAGGATCTTCTTTTTTCCCTGTGTCAAGTGACAGAAAAATGACTGAACAGTTGTGCAAGTGCTTTATATAAAGACATCTTCCCACCTTGACTGGAAGAAAAAAAAAAAACACACGAAAAAGCTACGTGTTGTAAGCACTCGCACACGTGTGCGGACCACTTGCTTCAAGTGTTTGCCATTTGATGCAACCATTGTGTCATCGTGGCTCACTTAATACTCTGACTGGCCTTTTTAAAATTGCATTTCTCAAGGCTTTCACTCCTGAAAGTAAATGCATTGAGCATCAGAGCCAACCTTCACTGTAAACATGAGTTCTAAATCAGGTTTTTCACAGATTAAAACGGATCCCTTTGGGGTGCAGAGAGGAAAAGAGAAGGTCAGAGAGAGAGAGAGAGAGAGAGAGAGAGAGAGAAAAGTGGCTGAGGAAAAAGACAGAGCGATATGGGGGAGGTAAAGAGAGATTGCCTGTAGGTGGTCTCAGCTGTAGTGCAGCAGTAGACTTTTTACAAGGTGGCTTGTGTGCTCCACTGGAGCGACAGCTCTGATTTTGACTTCTCAGTCAAGAGCAAACAACTCTTGAAAGAGGCAGACTTGTTGTCGGGGAGGCTGGGAGGAGGAGAGAGTGCAGGGAGGGAAGGAAGCAGGAAGGAGAGGAGCAGCAAAGAGGAAAGAGTCGGGTAACAAAGACCCGTCACATCCCTGACAAGCCCTTGTACTATATCACTACGCTACATCTCACAGAGGAATAATGCATTACTCCTCTGGGAGGGTGGCCCTTATCTGCACACACTCCTAGATGCTGATATCTGAGGAGAAACAAATTAGAGCATCCTCCTAAAACCTGAACAACAGCAAATTAAAAGAAACGGGGTGCAGGGAAAACGTGGGGGTATGGATGATTGGGGAAGGAGGGAAGGTGGGTTGTTTTCCCAAAAAATGCAGCTCTTTGGTGTCAAAAGGGGATGTGTGGGGGGGCTGGGAGAGAACACAACCCACAGGGGATAAATAGCAGAAGAAGAGGAAGCTGTGCGTACGGCTGGGAAACCAGAAGAACCAGTTACAAAACCACAAGAACTGATCTGATCGGAACATGTTTCCTGAATCAATTACCTGCTATCGATTCACAGCTGTTATGCAAATGAAAAACGAAACAGTAATACCTTTGTGTGCGGTGACAGTTCCACACAACAGAGACGAAGAAGCTGTGTCACAGATTCCTGATATATTCCTACTATGTGGGCGGGCGGGCGGGGGGGGCACGACAAAGAAATGCAGAAAGCTGGTCAAACAAAACATCTGTGCGAGTCCAGACACAGTCACAAGTACTAAGGCGGGGCCTGCAGATAAGGTTGCAGATACAGTATCACGCATTTGGCTCATCTTATTTCCCACAGCAGCGATAACACTTTCATTACCTTGGGAAATAAGCCGTTTTAATTTACGAACATTTATTAAATTATAACGAAAAGGAAAAGAGCCTCATTGTTGTTAAAGTAAGACCATTTCAGATTTCATTAGTCCACTGGCCAAAGAGTTTCAGACTCAAAAGGCAAAGTAAGGAAGGCCAGCAGACAGAATGAGTGAAGAGCAGTCAACTGTAAGGTTAAGATTCCTGATAAAGAAAAGATGCTTAACTTGAAAAGTTAAGAGGGAGAGGAGAGGGCAGGAGAGGAGAGGAGAAACAAGAAGAAAAGAGAAGAGGAGAGGAGAAACAAGGAGAGGAGGAGAGAGGGCAGGAGAGGAGAGGAGAGGAGAAACAAGAAGAATAGAGAAGAGGAGAGGAGAAACAAGGGGAGGAGGAGAGAGGGCAGGAGAGGAGAGGAGAGGAGAAACAAGAAGAATAGAAAAGAGGAGAGGAGAAACAAGGAGAGGAGGAGCGAGGGCAGGAGAGGAGAGGAAAGAGGGCAGGAGAGGAGAGGTTTCTATCCAGCAGACTGAGGTGAGTCAGAGAGATGATCAGATACTCAGACAGCCAGTCAGACAATTGGACTCAATGAAAGAGACTGATGCCTGTCTGGGAACTGTGAGGCAGCCACACATTCATTCTTACACACACACAAACACACACACACTCCCGTCATGTTGTGTCTCGGGCCGTGAATCACTCTGCACCTTCAGAACAACAGGAAGGCAGCTCCCAGCAGGTGGAAGAGCAGCAACAGGGAGCTCATAGGAAGGCAAGAAAAGGCTGGCTGAGCTGTTTCCGACAGTCTGCAGACACACACACACACACACACACACACACACACACACACACACACAAACACCAGGTATAGGTGATGATGGATCTCGTAAACGTTGGGCTTGGTTAATGATCCCACAACCGAGGGTGTTGATTGCTTTCTGGTAAGGAGA